GAACTGTTCATCTCACACAGGATTGACATGCATTCATGAGGAGTTTGATTCCTCTTCGAAAAGATTTGACACTGGTGCCTTGCCAGCTAGTCATGCCTCACATATGGCTTAGCAATTTTCTAAGTGAATGCTGCTAAATCTCCCAAGTGAGAGGTAGGACTATCTTCCTTGCTCATTAGTTGTTGATGTATTGCACACTATTGCAGTTTTGTTCATTCACTTAAGGAAGTCTATGGATTATATTTATTTTATCAAAAAAAACCCACCTCCCTGGAAAAATGGAGAGCTGGTTTCAAAAGATTTCAGGATATTATCAAAAGGTTGAAAATAACACCAATAAGACAATCAAGTGGATTTTAACAAACATAAAAATGCCTTTGCATAATTGGCAGTTAGTAAGGGAATCTCTCATGAATAATATGCTGTATGTTTTGAGCAACATTTTTTTTGTTCTTAATGATTTGTTTCTATACTATTTTTAAAGCCTCCCCTGTCCCTTGAATTTCAGTGTAGGAAGGAGCAGAATATTTGTTGTGGCAAGGAGCAGTTGCTTGTGACCTGCACACCTAGGGACCTGAGAATGGGACAAGGCAGCTGCACTAGGGCCTCAGAGACTCACACGTGGAGTAATCTTGTGCTGAAAGGATGCAGGGGAAACAACAGCTGTCGATATTAGAGCTCAATTTAAGCTCTCCTGCCTTGGTACTTCATAACTCTTATTCAATTGACTCTATACCCAGCTCCACGTAAGAAACGCCACAGAAAAGAAGAGAGAGAAGCCTCAGTGTGTCTGAGAATAGATTTCAGCTATCCTATAGGGTAGTGTAAGAGAGAAATGATTGTTACCCATAGACAATTAAAGATGGTTCTCATACACCTGAGTTTGTGGCTGAAAGTCTTGCTGGCATTCGTTGAAGTAGGCAGTTTCAGTTCTCTTTTCTGTGCCTGTTTAGAACTGTGGTTCCCAAGCTTGTCTGTATATTGATGTCCCCCAAAGAGCTCATAACCCCCCAATACCTGTGTCGCATTTCCAGAGAAGCTTTTGTGTGAAGCTTGCGCTATACAAATTTTACAAGATACCCAGTGATTCTAATCCACAGATCACTTTTGTGGTCACTGTTCTAGAACATCCAGTGCTGTCAATATATAAATGACAAAGCTCATTTCTATGCTTTTTAAAATAAGATAACCACTTATTCTTGATGCTTAACTTAGAACTGAAACAGTCCAAATATATTTTTTAAATTATAACTTACTTTCTACCATGTGATAATCATGATAGAAACAACTCCGAAAACCCTTTATAGTCTTACAACCAATAGTCCTTAGCAAACCCAGTCTTGTTATTATAAAAAGTGCAATAAATATTGTTTTGTGAATGCCATGTAATTAGACAAATATATGTATGAGTATATATGTATGTCCTGTTTTTGTTTTTTGTTTTTTGCCAGTCCTGGGCTTGAACTCAGGGCCTGGGAACTGTCCCTGAGCCTCTCTATGCTCAAGCTAGCACTCTACCACTTGAGCCACACCACCACTTGCAGCTATTTGTTTATGTGGTACTGAGGAATTGAACCCAGGGCTTCATGCATGCTAGGCAAGCACTCTACCACTAAGCCACATTCCCAGCCCTGTTCTTGAGTTTTTGAATGAAGAAAGATCTGAATGCTTCTTTGTCTTTTACTGTGTGGCAAATGAATGCTTTAGGCAATGTCCTTTTCTGTATTCCTCATAAGCAGAAGCTAAGCTGAGTAAAGCTTTGTTTCATCTGTGTCTGGGCTAAAGCCTTGTTTTATTCATAAAGTTACATAGCAAGTAAGTAAGAAACCTTCATTCTTCCTTTCTTCTTTCACTCTAATTTTTCATTTGCTCTCTCTCCTCTTCTCTCCCTTCTTTCCCCTTCCTCCCTCCCCGTCTCTCTCCCTTTCTACCTTCCTTCCCTTTCTTCCCTCCCTCCCTCCCTCCCTTCCTTCCTTCCTTCCTTCCTTCCTTCCTTCCTTCCTTCCATTATTTTTGGTAATGCTGGGGTTTGAACTCAGAGCCTTGCATTTGCTGTGCAGATGTGATACTACTTGAGCCACATGCCTTCAACCCAAGTTTTGCTTTTAGGTTATTTTTTAGATAGGGTATCTTTGCTCAAACTGGCCCAGGACCATGCTTCTCCTATGTATGCCTCCTGGGATTATAGGCATGAGCCAGTCTGATAGACACACTTCTGTTCTTGAACCCCCCTTCCTTTCTGGACTCCCCAAACCCAGTTTAGGCTTTTTCAGTTGCCTCCCATCACACAAGTTCAGATCTGCACCCCTTACCTGACTTTCTACAATTGTTTCCATCACTTTGACTTCTTCCCTGCCAATGTGCCCTTCCTCACAGTATTGGAGTGATTTTCATAAAATTGGAAATAGGAATGTGATTATTCCATGATCACTCCATGCTGATCATGCAAAGATTCTCGAGGTCCTTGAGGTAAAATCTAAACTAATTTACCTGCTTTAACAGTTTCTTTGTATTCTGATGAGAATTGCTTATTGGGGCAACCTTCCCAGTGCCTACCTAAGCTCCAGTCTTAGGACTTTCATTTTCTGAGAAGTTTCAAGCCAGATTGTAATTCCACTAAGTCTGATTTCTTCCTCCAGAAGAATATTGTTTTGGAATATGTTTGTAGACTCTGATGTTCTACATTACTGAAAATATTCAAGTAGTTAGTTGTTTAATCTCTTGTTAAAATAAACAACACCCTGTAATCCAGTTCTCTATTAACTCACCTCAAGTCCATGAGATTGGAAGCTGTATGAGGGCAGCATCAGGTACAGTATAGGACACACAAGAGTACACAGAGTATTTATTGTATGAGAGAAATAGTGACATCTAAATCTTTATTCTTTTCCAACTCGTTGAACCTTACCATCAGATCATTTTGAAGTTGAAGGCTCTCTGGCTAAAATTAGATGAGTCTTAGAGGTATGGTTATGGAAGCAGCCATGTGAAGAAACAGATGCTCCTAACTGAACTTGACACCACTAGCTTGATTCAACGCCAAGTTTGTTGAAGGGTCTGAAAGAAGTTAGTTTTGCTCTTTCATCCTTGGAATTAGTCAAGTTGAAGAGTTAGGAATGGGTTTGTTTCGGTTGATTCAGATTTATTTCTATGACCTCTGTATTAGTCTGACTATAATATTTCATTGACATTTACTATATTCTAAATTCAATATTTTTTTCTTGCAATTACTAGACATTTGGTTGAATGCCATATTTTAATTTTAAACTTGAAATTACTCAAGTACACAGCATTGCTCTTCTATAACATGTCTCACTTAATGTGGATAATAATAATTAGAATATTAGTGATTTTTGGAAGATTTTATTTCTTGAGATTTTAAAAATGTGCTTTATAATGTTATAGCTAACAGAAATATGCATTTTTATTCTGAAATTTGTCAGTGGACTTTATTCCAAACTACCTGATTATCAAGAGAAACACACAACACATTTGGTGTGCAACATAGTGAACTAAAAAATAATGCTATGGCCAAAAAGCAAGAAGTTCATCGAGGTTTGTTTTCAGATAAATGTTTTACTTTGCCATGCCATTAAATTAATTACTATTTAGTTAACCTCTAAAAATTAATAATGGTAAATATTTTCAGCTAAGCAGTAGTCATTACAGATTTTATAAGATAAAATGTTATACTTTTCTGCTATGCAAAGATTTATCTTTTGATAGCTAATATGAAATAAAGGAATTATATCTGGAATGATTATCATAAGCTACTAAAACTATTAAAGCAGGTAACTTACCTTCTAGCCTTTTAAATGAAGCTATCGTGCCTTTCCTGGGCCTCTAATATTAAAACTCTAGCCTAGTGTTGAATCTTGCACTCTATATTTATCTACTATGTGCTAAATTCCAATTATAAAAAGTAAATTGATAATTTTGTCTTTATGTCAAGCAAAAGAGTATATATATTATACACAATGTGTGTGTACACTTTCTAGGCATATTATGTCTTCTGATATTTATTTTATGTATTCATAGGAGGATAACTAATGCTAAATCCAAAATATAAGAAATAAGTACATAATACCTTCTGAGTCATAAGATAACTACTATGTCCTAAAATCACAAGTAATACTTCTTGCGTTCTTGCTAAGTAGTAAGTACTGTTTCAAGCACCTCATTGGCATGAATATGGATGGTTTTCTTAACAGCCTAGCAGGAGGCATCTTATTGCTTCGCTTGCAATAAAGTTGGGACAGGAATCTGAAAAAGTGTATTTCCAGGATCTGAAGTCAACTCTCAGAATACTAGAAACCAAGAATAGGTGCTGTTCAAAATATCCACAAAAAACAGATGTAAACAAGCAGGTTTCTGAACAAATTAAGGTGTATGGCTTCCTGGCCATCCATCAGACACAGAACAACATCTTTCAAGGCCTACTATCACTTTGAAACTAGTGGATGGAATCTGTTTCTTGTGGATGGTGATGGTCTTAAATTTGTGGAACTCTATAGACTTTCCATTTAGCTTGGAGCAGTCATTCAAGCCTTTAGGCATTAGCACAAATTTATACCTCAGGCTTGAGAGATCTCTGAAACTGGCTGAGATCAGAATCTTCAACGTTCTCCTTTGACTTTTATGCTGACTGAGGATGATAAAAGCAGCTGCTTAAAGAGATCCTTGATTGGGAATAAATCAAAATGAATCTTCTAAAAGCCCTGAAAAGTGCAATGATTGTGTAAGTGGTCATTATTTCTTACTAATTTTGTGTAAAGGTAAGTTAACATGAAGTTTTCTCTTTCTTAGTCTATTCCTTTTGATCCATTTTGACAAGGTTCATCTTAAGGCCAGAAATTTGAAAACAGAGATACTGAAAAAGTCAAGTGAAAAGTGTGAATGCCGTAATGTTCTGGGTTTTGGAGAGTGTGTTTCTGGACAAACAGCAACAACCTATCTCGGACATCTATTTGTTAATGAGATGTTTGCAGTAGCTAAACCAGCCCTTCAAGCTGCTACTCATCATCTGCCACACACACCACTGCTATAATATGTGTACGAAGAAAGACAACTGTATTCAAGGTGGTATTGGATCAGAGTTAATACATTTCCATTGGGGTAGGTCCTGATTCAAGTGCTATTCATTCATAGAGAAGCACTGTAATTGAAAAGAAAAACTTGAAAAGATTCTATTTGTATTTAATAGAGTTCTTGATTGTGCTCTTTGAATAAGTGCTTTTATTGATCCAACAATATTAACCTCATTGAATAAAATGTCTATGTGTACGAGAAAAGCCGATCATTATCTTATAATGGGATATGAGAGATTTGTTGTCATTCCCTTATTGGATTGATGCAGAAACCAATATATTCCAGTTGGTTTGCTGTTGATCTACTTTCCCTTAGCTATCCTCAGAAACAGAACTGCTCTTCTGAATCTCATCCTCCCTTCCTCCTTTTCCTTCTCTTCCTCTTCTTGCTCTTCCTCTTCCTCCATATCCTCCTCCTCTTTTTTCTTCTTTCTCCTGTCCTCCTCTTCCTCCTCTTCCTCTGTTTCTGCCTCTTCACTTTACTTTTTTTTAAATCAATATTATTTTATTATAAAGGTGATGTACCGAGGGCTTACAGTTACATGAGTAAGGTAATGAGTACATTTCTTATTTAACAATGTTACCTCCTTGCTCGTTTTCTTTCATTTTTCTTTTGAGGGATGATCCCACTATGCAGCGCAGACTGAGCTCAAACTTACTATCTTCTGCCTCAGACTTCTGAGTATGTAGATGGCAGGTGATAGTGCCATGTCAAACTAGAAATAGAAATTCTTAAGTTCGTCCTCTTAAGTTGAGGTTCTTGCACTTAACAGTGCTTACTAAGTATTTGCTGAAGGAACAATGATGATTGATTTTCTTTTTACCTGTGATATTTAGTATTTGAGCCACAGCTCCATTACTAGCTCCATTTTTGTAATTTATTGGAGATAAGAACCTCATGGACCTTCCTGACTAGGCTGGCTTCCAATTGTCATTTTTAGATCTCAGCCCGCTGTGTAGCTAAGATAACAAGTGTGAGCCATTGGTGCTTTATTGTTATAATAATTTTTTTTCAGATACTGAGTTCTTTTTGTAAAATGACAGTTTTATGTTACTTTAAAACTATGCTTTACTTAATGATTGAACAAATTATAATTATTTAAAAATATTAATAAGTAATATATTTAATTGTGTTATTAATAATTAATGCATTTTTTGGGTCCGGTCGTGTGGCCTGAACTCTGGGCCTGGGTGCTGTCCCTCAGCTTTTCAGCTCAAGGCTAGCGCTCTACCACTTGAGCCACAGCGCCACTTCTGGCTTTTTCTTTTTGCTTATGTGGTGCTGAAGAATCGAACCCAGGACCTCATGCATGCAAGGCAAGCACTCTACCACTGAGCCACCTTGCCAGCCCCAATAATTAATGCATTTTAAGTAATATATTTTATTATTGAGAAATAATTTAGAGCTAGGAGCTGGTGGCTTGCACCTGTAATCTTGGCTATCTGGGATGCTGAGATCCAAGACTCTTAGTTTGAAGCCAGCTTGGGTAGAAGCATCCATGAAACACACCAAATAACTAGCAAAAAGTGTTGTGGCTCAAGTGGTAGAGTGCCAACTTGGAGCAAAAACGCCAAGCAAGAGCTTGAGGCCCTGAGTTCAAGCTCCAATACCAGCACACACACACACACACACACACACACACACACACACACACACACACACACACACACACACACCTAGCCAGTATATTGATTTCAAATTAAGTCCTGGTTACCAAAGAGCATTTTAAAACCATTGTGTTGGTTCTAAATCACAGTTTTGGCTATTTACTTGAGATTTTTATGAACATGTTTAGAGACACTGCATTTTAATTTTTTCATGAAAATAAAAATCTGTTGAGTAAATGCATATATTTATGAATCCTAAGAGATTACCATAAATTCAGACATAATTTAATTTTTCAAAACCCACAGAAGAGGCAGGTGGATGTCAGCTGTCAAAAGAACAGTGATAAATGCTTCTTTTCCACTAAGTCACTTCACCACCCACAGATTTTAGTTAACATTATTGTGATGGTGAATGACCCTAAGGAGGGATCCCTCCTTCATTTTGGGCTCCTTCCTAATAATCTACAGCTGTGCAAACTGTGAGAGTATCATGGGCACAGTTAAAGTGGAAGTATGTCACTCCATATGGCTCTTACTGGCATTCTTTGATGACTTGTAATATTCCTTCAGTCCCACTGTCAAGAGCTCATTCCTCAGCTGAGAGAATGCTTTGAGAAGCTATTCACCAATCTTTAATTGTTTCTTATGTTAATAACAATAGGGGTTCTTTGTTTGCAGTGAATGAAAGAAAACTAAGAGGAGCTCATTTCAAATTAAAGCGACCAAAGTTCTGAATCAGACAACTCCCTCCCAAAACTAAGTAAACATTTGTTTTCAGATACTAACATCCACATGGTTGTGGGGATAGGAAGTAATTTGGAGTAGGAATTGTTATTCCTTTGATGGCATGAAAATGTAATCTGATGTTTGCTTAGGAGGTCTCAAATGGAGCTTTGGGCACAAGTGTTAGATGTGATCTTATTTTGTTGGCTTGTAGTGAAGGTAGTTAATGTTCAGATTTATTTTCTAAAGGAAAGTAATGACTATAAAGACGTAATGGCAGTTTTATTGTAAAACTTTAATTTGGAAAGAGTTGTGGGGCCATTGTATTTTTTATTTGAGGGGAAAAAGTGCAAAAATAAAGCATTATTAAATATATATTTTGCTATGTGGGTCTTTTTCTGTATATAATTTTTTAATATATAATTTAGCAGATTTTAGAAAAAAAAAGAAAGAGAAAACAGAACCCAGTTCTATAATGCAGTTAAAGTTTAACCATTTTTTATTTTTTATGTTGGTATTGAAGGAATCTTCCAGAACCCTGGCAATTTATTGCTTGAATTATCAGAGGAAATTTTATTGTTTGTGTATTACCCTCATTGTTGACATTTAGATATTTGCCTTAAAAAAACACAACAACAAAAAAAACCTGGGAAATCCTTTGGTTGTTAGAAGCTTGGTGGAAAGGAGACAGCTTCTAGGAAGATAATTTAACTTTATTGCTTTTTTGTCTTTAGCCTTCTCTTTACCTTTAAACATTATTCAATTTATATAGGATTCTTTCTATCTGCTTTTCCAGAAGGCAGGCAAACAACAACCTAACTTCAGGATATGAAGAATCTCTGTACACACATTAATTAAGAATATTGAATGTAGTAGTTCTTTTTTTGGGGGGTCCAATCATGGGGCCTGAACTCTTCAGCTCAAGGCAAGCGCTCTACCAGTTGAGTCACAGTGCCACTTCCGGTTTTTTTCTTTTTGCTTATGTGGTGCTGAGGAATCAAACCCAGGGCCTCATGCATGCAAGGCAAGTGCTCTACCACTGAGCCACCTTCCCAGCCCCTGAATGTAGTAGTTCTAAGGCCTGAATATGTGATACTGAAACAAAATGAAAAATAATTAACATTTCTCTTTCAGTAAGATGAAATAGTGTGGAATACTCTGGAATGGTCAAAATCAATCAGGGAACATTTTTATAGAAGCTTAAAGCTAAAGACTGAAAATGAATGGACCATGATCACCTTGAGACTCCAAGAGAAGTTGTTCATTGAACAATTCCTCAACTCTTTAATCATGTGGTTGCTCTGTTTTCACCTTCTCTTCACATTTCTGAAGGTTCAATTGCATGGTGAGGGCCTTTTGTTTCTTTCCTTTCTGCTTTATGGTTCCTCAGAGTTTTTCATGTCTTATCAAGAATGGAGACGAAGCATAACTTTTAAAGAAGATTGTTTATTACACTTTGTAAATCTCAGCAATTGCTTCCACAAATCTTTTCTTACCTTGTGTAAAAATGTAATACCTTTTTTTTCATTTATAACAAAGAAATGAGCCCTTTCTATTTCTTCATACAAAATTTAGTCATCCAGCCTCTGTGGCTTTATTTTAGAAAACATTGAAAAAGAAGAGAAGGAAGAATGACTGATTAAAAGAGGAAAAGAATAAAATGGAACTCTGAAGGCTATTAGGCACAATTCTTTATTTCTTCTTCATACGTGATAATGTTTGGTGTGCTTTATTTACAGCTGAAATAAAATTATGGCAAAGCCAATGACCATCTCCCTCACCCAGATGTTTGCTATCATATTTTAATGGAGGACATTAAGGGCATATTAGGACACAGTTCAAATATCTGGATATGATTTAATCAGTGAGTTTGATTATAAAAATGAGGTCCTCTGGGAAAATTAGAGGTGGCTTCATGGCATGAGATGTAGGGAAATTATTTAGCAATAAAAAAAAAACGGAATTCTGGTAGCTCAGGGAAGCTGGGAATTCAGCTGCTGACAAAATGACTGACTGTGCTGAAACAGCTGGACACCTGCATGAAGGAAATAAAACAAAATGAATTTGGATACAGATCTTACACCCTTCACAAAAATTAACTCAGTGTGGGCCATTGACCTAAATGTGAAACCTGAAGCCAGAAATCTCCTGGAAAGTAACACAGGAGAAAATTTAAAGAATGATCAATGCGAGGTTGACTTTTTAAATACAAAAGCAAAGTAGCCATTCAGAAAAGAAAGAATTGGTTAGTTGGACTTCAATAGAATTAAAAGTTGCCTGTGAAAGACAATGTAAAGAACATGAGAAAATAAGCCACGGATCGGTGAAAACAATTTGTAAATGATGTCTATTAAAGAACTGTTATCCTCTTCAGAGAAGTCTGTCTCTCTTTAAGTCTTTAGCCCACTTATTAATGGGGTGGTTGTTTCCTTGAGGATTTGTTTTGGGGGGGGATTTAATTTTTTGAGTTCTATGTATATTTTAGATACGAAGCCCTTGTCCATTGTATGGCTAGTGAATATCTTCTCCCAATACGTGGGCTTTCTATTGATCTTGCTAGCTATGTCCTTTGCCTTGCAGAAACTCTGCAATCCATTTGTCCAACCTTTCTTTGATTTGTTGTGTTTCTGAGTCTTTATTAAGAAAAATTTGGCCTGTGCTAAGGAGCCCTAGAGTTTCTCCCATTCCTTC